ACACAACAGAAGTGGATGCTTATGTCCTACAAAATATATGTATAAGAATGGTCATAGCAGCTTTATTCCTGATAGCCCTAGACCAAATGTCCATTAACAGTAGAATAAATATGTAGATATTTTCATACAATCAATACCAAAGAGCAGTAAAAAGTATTGCTACAAACAAAAATATAGGTATATCCTACAGATAGAATATTGAGCAAAAGAACCAGACACAAAAGAGCCCATGCTATATGATTCCATTTATACAAAGTTCAAGATTAGGCAAACTGATGTGTGATATAGGATAAAAGAGTGGTTACCTTTGGGAGTGTTGACTAGGGGGCACAAGAGTCCTGGAAAAGTTCTATATTTTGATTTTTTAAAAAAAAATTTTTAATGTTTATTTTTGAGACAGCAAGAGACAGAGCATGAATGGGGGAGGGTCAGAGAGAGAAGGAGACACAGAATCTGCAACAGGCTCCAGGCTCTGAGCTGTCAGCACAGAGCCTGATGCGGGGCTTGAACTCACGGACCGTGAGATCATGACCTGAGCCGAAGTTGGACGCTTAATCGACCGAGCCACCCAGGCACCCCTATCTTTTGACTTAGATGGTAGTTACATGGGAGATTATATAGATACATTTACAGAAAGATATATATATATATATATTTTTCTATCTCTGTCTCTACATCTAATATATATTATTAATATTCCAAGGAGGTATGAAGAATGAAGAAACTCAGGACATGTAATATACTGAAAACCAAGTGAGGAGAGTATTTAAAAATGGTGGGGAAAAAAGACTGAGATTTGACATCTGGATTAACAGGGTACAGACTGCTGGTGACTTTGACAAAAACAGCATCTATGGAGTAGTGGATTAGGGGAGCAAAATCTTGACTGAAGTAAGCTTAAAAGAAAATGAGAGAAAAGTATCCACAGATAGCGAATAGAAAATTCTGAAGGAGTTTTGTTGCAAATGGGAGCAGAGGAATAGAGCAATATCTAGCAGGGGAAGTAGGATTATGATAAGTTATTTTTTAGATAAGTGAAAAGAAAGGTGTATTTGTGTGCTGCTGAGAATGATCCAGTAAAAGGGAAAAACTGATGATGTGGGAGAGGCAGGAATTTCTAGAATGAAATCCTTGCAAAAACAAGAGGGAATGGAATCTATTGTACAAATAGAAGAACTGGCTTTAGATAGGAGCAGTAACAGTAATTAATAGGCAGGAAGGCAGAATATACGTGCACAGATGCAAGTAATGTGGTGGGTAAATGTGGTAGTAGTAATCTGTGAGAATTCTCTTACTGCTTCAATTGGTCAATGAAAGAGGAAGCAAGGTCAGAACACTAAAATGAGAATGAAGAGGAAGTGTTAAAAATTTGAAGAGAGAAGAGAAGGTGTAGGCTCGGAAGATGTGGTAATTTGGAATTACCAAAACTAGGTTTTTGTTCCAAGTTAGTACAATGAAGTGAGAGGAGGGCAATGGAGGCTAAGGTTTATGCATGGGATTGTTTACAATGATGGATCATGTAATTTTACCTAGGTGAAGAGGGAAGAAAGGACATGAAAAGGTTGAGGGATAGTCAAAGTTGGGAGGTATCAGTGAGGCTGAAGTGATATTGGAGTCAGGTTATTATAGGTAGTGAGCTAGCCAGGAGATAGTGGTCAGGAAATGGGACTCATGAGATCAAGATTACAGAGGTGTGCACTATTGTTAATGAGATGGTCTTGGGGTAAGACCCTGGGAATGAGTAGCTGAGGTAGAGTGGAGGATAGAGAGGATTTTGCTGATGATCTGAAAGAATGAAGAAATGACTATTGGGATCAAACCTTTCACTCCTTGTTCTCCTTGGAGTCCTCTATCACCTGGAGATCCTGGAGGGCCTGGAGGGCCTGCTTCACATATATCATCACCTGAGATAAGATAAAGGATAACAAGCTACTTGTTGTGAAATATTCAGAAGGCTAAACAAAAAGAAAGCCTGATAGGCTAAAAAAAAATATTTTCAGTTACTTCTCCGCGGTAATGCAAGGACCTATAAGCAAAAGGAAGATATAATACTGGTGATGATTTGAAGAGAAAATTTAAACAGCAAAGAATCACCAAAAATCAAAAGTAGAGGCAGCAGTAGAATAATGCCAACCTTCAGCTGGATTCACTTACAAATGAAAACAAAACAAAAACAAAAGAATTTAGGAGAAAAGTATATCTTACTAGGAGGGATTTGAGGGCCAGGAGGGCCAGGAGGCCCTGGAAGTCCAGGAGCCCCAGGCTGTCCATCAAGTCCGGGAGATCCAGGAATAGAAAGTCCAGGTGGACCTTCATCACCTTTCTGGCCCCTTTCTCCAGGAAAGCCAGGGGGGCCAGGAGGACCCATAACTGCAGTCCCTAAGATAAAAAACAATTAAAGTGATAAAATGATCTTATTTTGGAGATATTACTTTAGTTCTCAATGAGACATAAGTAATGATAAGATCTTCCTTTAATGTATAATGCAGTTATGTTGTTTTTTCTATGAGAATCAATATCTGAAGAAAGCATGAAAAGATTTTTTTAATGTTTATTTATTTATTTTTTAGAGAGAGAGAGAGAGGCAGAGAGGGAGAGAGACAGAATCCCAAGCAGGCTCTGCACTGTCAGTGTAGAGTCCAATGTTGGGGTTGAACCCACAAGCCATGAGATCACGACCTGAGATGAAACAAAGAGTCAGATGCTTAACCGACTGAGCCACCCAGGCGCCCCACATGAAAAGTTTTAAATAATGTAAGTACCAGTTTGAAAGTAAGAAAGAATAATTTAGTGTAGCTTTACTACTTTTGGAAATGTACTAATAACCCTCTACCCACTCTTTGATGCTATGATCTTTTAATCTAAGAAATACTAGAAAACCATTAGCAAGAGAAAAAGAGGCATCTCAAAGTTCTCATGTATACATGGCTTTATTTCTGAACATTCTTCTGTTGCAATGTCTATTCCTGCACCACAAACATATTTTTATAATAATGAAAGTAATTATTGTAATTATAAATAATTTGAAAACTGTTTTCAAAACGGGTAAGAAAAATATGCCCATCTTTGTCCTTTTTAAAAACCATCCTGGAACACTTGGGTGGCTCTGTCGGGTAAGTGTCAGACTTATGACAGAGAGTGGGAGCCTGACTCGGGTCTCACGGACCATGAAATCATGACCTGAGCTGAAGTCAGAGGCTTAACCGGCTGAGCCACCCAGGTACCCCAGTGTTTAACTGTTTAAATGAATTAACTCTCTCTCTGCTCCTCCCCTACTCGAGCCTCTGTCTCTCTCTGAAAAATAAACATTAAAAAAAAAATCTTTATTAGACTTATAAATTTATCTTCTAAATGCAGTTTAGAATCAACTTGTCAGTTTCATTTTTTAAAAAACAGTGGAAGTTTGAATGAGATTAATTTGAATTTAAAGACTAAATTTTGGAGAATCACCTGTTTATAATATTGAGTTCTTATATTAAGAAATTAAGTATAGCTCTCCATTTATTTATTAATTTTATATGATTTAATAATATTTTACAGAATTCTGAAAAAAAGGCATACACATCTTCTGTTGAGTTTATTCATGGGTTAATTTGATTAGTACTGTGAATTTTATTGCTATTACTATTGTCAACTGGATTTTTTCCTCTTACATTTTCAACTTTTCATTGGTGAAGAGGAAGACAAATTATTTAAGTATGCAACTAGCATATCTGCCCACCCTGCAAACATTCTAAATTCTGGTAATTTGACATTTGATTCTTTTAGGCTTTTGGGTAGATTATAATGGGGTTTGTAAATAACTAAAATTGTGGGTTTTGTTCCATCCTCACACCAGACTTGTAGTGAATTGGCTGGGCACTCCAGTATAAGGATAAACAGTATAGGCGACTCTGAGTATGTGTATCTTATTTTTGACTTGAGTGAGAATGTTCCTGATGTTTCACCACAAAAATATGACATTTCCTGTACAGTTCTGTGCTTCCTGTATGAAGCAGATAGCTTCATCAAGTTCCCTTTTAAATTTAGTTTAATAACTTCTTTACCCTTTAAAAATGAATGGGTACTGAATTTTATTGACTGCTTTCTTTGCAAATATTGCCTATTCTCTTTTAATCTGTCAGTGTAGTCAATAATAGAAATGTTGAGCCATCCTTGCAATCTTAATATACTTCTGAATTGATCTGCTAATATTATTTATTATTGTTGCTTCTATGTTCATAAATGAAACTGAATTATATTTATTACTAGTGTTATCTCCCTGGTCGCTTGGCATCAATGCTTTTAAATTAAAGGTCTTTTTTAAAAAATATGTTCTGAAAAAGTTTGTAAAATATCAGAATTTCCCACCCAACAACTTAGTAGAATTCATTCACAAAGCTGTATAACCACTCATAAAACCAGTGCCTTTTTGTGGAAATTTTAACATTTCCGAATCTTCCATGGTAATTAATATACTTAGTTTTTTTTTTTACTTTCTCAGGAAAACTTTAGCAATTTATGTTTTTTGTTTCCTGAGGAATGCGTATTTCATTTAGAATTTCCAATATATTGATATAGTTTTACAGTTTTCTTATAATTTAAAAAAATTAATTGTATTTATGGTAATAATCTTTTCTTTACTGATTTTATTTGTGCCTTCACTTGCTTTTCTCTTGATCACAGTTTATTCTTGTTTTTACCTTTATCAAGTTTTTCCTAATTTTTTTATGTTTATGTTATTTCTTATAATTTTTTCAAAGTAGCTCATTTATTTTTAGTATCTTTAATTTTGTGATAAATTAAGGATACCATTTTGGCTATGTTTAATTAAGTTTTGATATAAGTTAGTTTAGCATTCAGTAGATTGTCATTTCCATTTCTGTTTCCTCTTTACCTCTCGAGTTATTTACAAATGTGCATTTTAATATACAAATGTAAAGAAATTTGGTGCTTTCTGTTGTTAATTTCTAACTTCATTTCACTGTGGTCATGGAGCATGGTTTGTATATAATTTTAAAAGATTTTTTTCTGATTGAATAAATTTCTATAAATGTTTCATGTAAGTTTGAAAATAATGTATATTCTCTGCTGCACACAGCTTTTCTCTTTCCCACATACACAGTTTAATTGTCTTGCTCAAATCATTTATACCCTGATTTATTTTACACCTCCTTGATATGTTAGGTATTTACCAATTTATCACTTGTAGTTTTTCAGTTTTCACTTTATATATTCAAAGCTGTATTTTTAGATGCATAAAGTTTCATGACTTTTACATCATAGTGGTTTAATTTGTCTATCTGTCCATATGAAATGTCTTTTTAATGTATTTCTTGAATTGAATTCTATTTCATACTATATTAGAATTGTTAAACCACCTTTCTTTTTGATATCACTTGCCTAGTATCTTTCAACTGCTGTTTTAAAATTTTTTATGTCCTTTTAATTTATATAGGCTTATTATGCACAGTATATATTTTTATTTCAATTTTATTTTAGTTTTTGTCTTTTAATCAGTGCTTAGTCCTTTCACATTTATTGGAGTCACTGATTTATTTTTAACTTCTTCTTGTCATCTTATATTTTATTTTCTATTTACCACAGTTCATGTCTGTTTTGTTCCAATTCTAACTTGTATTATGTAGATCAAGTTTTTTGGTTATTTTCTTTCCTCAAAGGATGTGTAAGCCATGCATTTTATTTACATTTTCTCTGGTGGTTACTAAAATTTTAGCCTATGTATTTAAACTTATATTTTCCTAAAAACTTACAGAGTTAATAATTTTAGTATTCTCTTTCTCTATTAAGACAAAAACCCTTATGATTGATTTCCCCCTACTCTCTCTGCACCCTTACATCCTATGTTAATAATGTATATAGTTATCGTTCCATTTTGTTACTTAAAATACCTCTATTATTTTTTTGATCAATACTTACTTAGACCTCATATATTTTACCAGTATCTTTCCTAACCACTGGTTCTTGCATCCTACCCATCCCCACCCCCAACTTCATCCTGAATTAATTTCTTCCTTCTTAGACTAAACCCTCCAATATCCATTTTAGAGAAGTTCTGGAGGTGGTAAATTTTCTAAGTATCACATGTTCACACTAGGATGATAGTTTGATGTAATACAGAATTCCAAACTCATAGTTATTTTCTTTATAACATTGAAAATTATCTTCCTTTGACTCCATTATCTTCCTCTGACTCTTAGTGCTTTGTTGGTGATCTGCTTTTCCTTCATATAGTTGTTAAGGGTTTCTTTTTATCCTTAAATTCTAAAATGTCTGAACAATGTGTCATTATGTACTTTTATATTATTCTTATTTCACTCTTGCTTGGTAATTCATAAGCTGTTTCAAAGGGACTCATGTTTTCCTTCAAATAAGTAGAAGTTCTCAGTCATTAATTTTTCAAATATTACCCCTTGTCCCATTCTCTCCCCTGTGAACTCCATGTAAATTCTAGAACTTCTAAATTTATACCTATGTCTCTTAATTTTTCTTTCATATGATCTAATTCTATAATGTTTTTGCTGCATCCTGGGAGAATTCCTTATCTGAATTTTCTAGACACAGTATGTGTTTAGTCCACTATCTTGAAATTGGAAATCCAAAGTGTATACTTAGAATTAAATGAGACCCACATTTATTCTTTCTCCTTGGGAGGATCATGGATTTTCACTCATCTCATCATGTTAATATTTCATTAGCCAAATTTTTGAAGGGTGGGGAATAATAATTTATTAAACATACATGTGTGTCAGGTACTATACCAGATGCTTCCTCAAATTTTACATAAATCCATACTATCACTTCATTTCAGAGAACATCCAAATAAACATGCTAAGCAAGGGTGGTGCTCAGGCTGGCCAATTTAGAAATGCTGTACTATGTTGTTTATCTTCAACAAGGGAATGATATAACAGTTAGTATTGAGCCCCCAAATTTTATTTCACACCAAATCACCATGGGGATTTCTAAGCAGATATTTCTGGCCTTCTAAGTGGATAGTTTACTATTTTTATGCAGGAAATCTTATAAAACTAGGCATTATTAGAATAGCATTCCTTTCCATAGCAGCACAAAAAAAATGCAATGATTAATTTTTGGATCACAGAATCATTGGGTGTAATTTATTAATAATAAAAAGTGGAAATGGTATTTTTAGGGTAAAAGGGAACTATCCATCTGACTTGGCTTTTTCTTTTTTAAGTACAAGTGAGAAATTTGGTGAGACAGGTTATAGTAAGAGTTGAGAAGTTTCTGTCAATTAGAAAATACTCATGTCTTTTACTGCCATGCTCACCTTGGAACTAGTATGATAATACTGGACATGGGGATTAGTAAGGATGCTGTAAACACAAGAGCATTAAGTACAGTCTCTTTTACCTGGAGGTCCAGGGAGGCCGGGTGGACCCTGTATTCCAGGAAATCCTCGCTCTCCTTTTTCTCCAGGCAAGCCAGGTAAACCAATGCTTCCTTTTTCTCCCACAGTTACACCAGTCTCAGGCCTAGGGATTACCTTTATTATGAAAGAAAAAAATAAAGGACCTCAAAGAGGAAGAGACTTGTTCTCCTAAAAATAACCTAGCAGCTATATATGATTACAATGCCATCATTTTCACAGAGCTGTTGGATGCAAAACTATTAAGACTACTACACAGATTATGAGTCACATTCCTCATCACTCCTTTCCTTCAACTTATTAGAAACTGTTTAATACCAGTAATAATATTGCCACCCTCCTGAACCCCAGCCCAAGATTACAGAGCTAGAATTATTTTTTATGTCTCTAATCACATTCAATTCATTCCAATTACCTAAGCTTGATAATTATTTACTGAAAATGTCTCTCCGATTTGTTCCCTTCTTTCCTATTGCCACAGCTACTATCCCCATCTCACACTTGGACGAACAGAAGTACCTCTGAAATTCTCCCCTTAAATCCAAATCTACTGCTAACAGATACTTTCTCAAAAACCAGTTTTTCTGTGTTAGATATCCAGTGTAAGGCCTCAAAATTCACTACTTCTTACTATGTCTGATGCCACTTTTCACCCTGGACTCTGTCAAGTCTCTTCTCACTTTCAGTACCTCTCTCCTTTATCACATCTCCTGTTATTTTTAGCAGTAAAGTTTTAGGACAGTGAGGACTATCTCATTATACCCACTTCATGCATCTCACACATTCTCGTCTTTACCTCTGAATATACCATTTCTTTTTTTTTTTAATGTTTATTTTTGAGAGCAAGTGAGCGAGCAACAGAGGGTGACCATGGGAGTTGCAGAGAGAGAGGGAGACACAGAATCTGAAGCAGGCTCCAGGCTCTGAGCTGTCCACACAGAGCCTGTAGTGGGGCTTGAACTCACAACCTGTGAGATCATGACCTAAGCTGAAGTCAGATGCTTAACTGACTGAGCTACCTAGCCACCCTAATATTGTCTTTTTAAAGTAGCACCACGTATATTTATTTCAGTGATGCTACCATTCAACAAAGGGTGCTTGGACTCCTCATTTTTTAATGTTTATTTATCTTCGAGAGAGAGAGTGAGAGACAGAGAGAGAGAGAGAGAGAGAGTGCAAGTGGGGGAGGAAAGAGAGAGAGGGAGACACAGGATCTGAAGCGGGGCTCGTACTCACGAACTGTGAGATCATGACCTGGGCCGAAGTCGGACACTTAACCAACTGAGTTTACCCAGGCGCCCTGAATATGCCATTTCAAACATCTGTAATGTCATCTCCCAATCTTTCCCTTTATCAACCCACATTTTTTTCTTCCTGTAAAATAAAACAAAACAAAACAAACTCCTCTCTTTTGGGAGGGCTTTATTGATTTGAATCAACTAACTGATTATTCCTTTTCTCTTGGTCTTTGTAGAATCCCAGTGTTGAAACAATTTCATATTAAATAATCTAAAGAAATTAATCTCATAGAGCTGTAATGATAAATAAGCTTTAGTTTTAAGATTGGACTGAGGTACAAATCAACACCCACTGGCAAGGTATGGTATTTCATCCTGGCTCTATTGGATAGAAGAAATATTCAGACAAAAGGAGTTTGAAAGTTGTGGGACTTGGAATGGAGATAGTAGTTCAAAAAGGAAAGTGAGCTGCTGGATAAGACTGCAGTCCCCAAATTTCCATTTCTTCTGGTTTTTATCAAAATTTTATTATCTCATTTCATAAAGAAATTATTTCTTAGAGAACAAAAGTTCTGATTTTACAATGAAAATTAATAAAAATTGTCTAAGATCAGGGCATCTGAATGGCTCAGTTAGTTAAGCATCTGACTCTTGATTTTGGCTCAGGTCATGATCTTGCGGTTCATGGGATCAAGCATTGCATCAGGCTCTGTTCTGACAGCATGGAGCCTGCTTGGGATTCTCTCTCTCTCCCCCTCTCTCTGCCCCTCCTCCACTCACACTCACTCTCTACTCCCTCCCTCTTTCTCTCAAAATAAGTAAATTTTTAAAAATTGTCTACGATCTTCTTTATGTATATCCTTGTTAGATCTGTGACGTACTAACTATCAATATCTGAGACTAACTCTGGACAGAAATAATTAAATTAATATTACTCAAATGTCCTGAACATATAGGCTTTATGGCACTTGCACCTTTGCAGATTTAATGCAATATAAAAGCAAGAGTCTTACCAAATTTCAACACAAATGAAAGCCAATATGTTAAATTGCATCAGTGATATTTTATTCTTAATAAGATTGGAAACGTATTTGACTTAAATTTCATGGTGAATACAAACATTACAGAAAATCCATAACCCCCCTATGTGTATTTTCATAGAGCAGTTACCTACATTTGATTAAGAGCCCCTAGAAGGCACATACTCAGGGAAGAAAGAGGTATGAATCAGGCAATTGTATAATTGAGTAAACCTATTAAGACCAAATCCATCTTTCCAGGGCTCTGTAAGGGAAAGGGCCGATCCCTCATTCCCCAAATTTCTTTTATTGAAACTTTGTAAGCCATACTTGCACCACCTGCTGGTTACTTGATAAATACTTTGGCAATCATGAGGCAAAACAACCCAATGCCATAATTTTGGATCTTTACCATGGAGAAGTAATATACAGGCAGAGCAATACAAAGACTTTGAGGTCAACATCACTGAAGTTTTTATATGTAGACTTTTAAGCCAGTAAAAGTTGATAATGACTTAGAATTTTGTTCTATGAGGAAAAGGTACAGAATACATTAAGGCACAAAAATGAAAATGCATTAATAAGTTTGATAAATGAAGACTGAAAAGAAACTTACAAGTCCAGGAGGCCCAGTTGGGCCAATGTCACCTTTTTGGCCCTGTTCAATACAAGTGTAAAGTAGGTTAGTAAAAGTCATATGAAAACACTGATTTCCTTAAAAATGTAACAGATATATAGGTTTCATGAAGACCCAGGAATCCATAATAAAATATCTCTAACAGAAGTACTACTTGAGGTAATGAGACAATACTGAAATAAGCCTAGTCAGACCTGTGATGTTGTCTCAGATTTACTAGCTATACAATTTTGACCAAATCAATTAACTTAACTGTCACATATACAGACCAGCCTTCTAAGGTTTTTCTAGATGTAACATTCTTTGATTTTAAGATTGCTATTTTCTAGCAACTATAAATACTTTAGAAAGAAGATACTGAATAAAGAAATTGGTACCACTAGAATCAGTTAAAAGCATTATATTTTCTTACATCTAGCCTTGTTTCTTTTCATAAAACTTGTTGAAGGCATAAACTAGATGTCATTTCCATTAGTCACAGATATTTTAGAGCTGATAGATTTAGCTATCATCAGGAACAGCTAATAAATTATAACTGCTTTTGTGAGTTTGCTCTTAGAAACTAATGAAAGACAAATTCAGAAGCAAAACTGTTACTCTTAACCAGTAGCTACTACAGCATGAAAAACACAGTATATAACGGTTATTTTACTGGCCAAAACCCAAGGATAATGTCTCTCTCACACCTCTCTTCTTGTTCTAGACTTGTTCATAGGAACTTTTCATCTATCTAAAAGTTCCTTTTAGTTTAAAGAGTTACTTTGTCCTATCACTTTATTTACTACTTGAAAAAAAAAAAACAACTCTTGTTCTCTGAGTATTTATTATCTTCCTTTATTCTAGCTGTGGTTCTCAGTCCAAGCTTCAAGTTGGATCTAGTTTAGAGATAAACCAACATTAAAATATGCACCCTCCGGGTACATTCAAGTTTGTAACACTTTTTCCTCCTTGCCTGCAGAACAAAGCTTTTCAGTACTAGTTTTCATATAAAGCAATTAGAGACCAGAGAGACTGGAAAACTGGATATTTTGTGATCTGCTATAAACAAGGGAAATGTGTGCTTCATATATTCTTTCAAGGTCACTTTTTTTCCAAAGTCACTTTTAAAATAAATAAGTAAATAAATGACTTCAGTCAGGCTGTATAGCCAAATGGGAAAAAAATGACAAAGAATTATCCACAGACTTTCAGACAATAATTGCACAGAGAATGGAAATGTTTAGTGTAGACATTCTAAATTCACAGCTACAAGCCTTTTTGGTATGAGGACCTCACTAAAATAGTGCTGAATCCACTTTCTGGAGAACAAAAGTTTTGCTGATACATGCTCAAAATAAAGGCACCAACTTTTCACAATGTAAATGCTAAAGTTGAACAATTCTTCATGTATTTCCACCACATGAATTGTGATTTGTGACAATGACCAAAAATTTAGAGGAAATGGTACAAAAGAAAAAGGAGCTATACCAAAAGATGAATAAAGAAGGTATGTTTTGAATACAAAAGCTAGTTATTTATAACTTTTTCATTTAAAACTCAACCTTGGCATACACACACACACACACACACACACACACACACACACA